TTTGCTGGTCTTGCTCTATTCATGTTTTCTCCAAGTTTTCTCAAGCATTAGGCAAAGTTATCGTTAACTGTACATTCCTCCAATCTCCTCTTCATTAGATTCTACTACCAAAGGATGTCAACAGCCTCTCTAATCTTCAGCTTCCTTGTGTTATCATTGTATGAGGCTCTTCTTTCTGTTGCCTTCCAATTGATCTCGTGTCCAGTTTGTGCGATCCGTTCAGCTAGTTCTGATCTTTCGGTATACATTTTCCTGTAGAGCCTCTGATGTTCCTTGATTCGTGTGCTAATTTTTATCCTTGTTTCGCCAATATATTTCTGTTCGCATGCGCCGCATGATATACAGTAAACTCCTGAACAATCCAATTTGTCTATACTTTTATGTTGCGTTGGTAAACCTGTGAAAAGTGTTGATTTCTTCTTCATGACCACCTGAATATTCCATTTACTCAATATTGGCCGTAGTTTTTGAGTTAGTTCGCGGAAGGTAGGCATATCCACTTTTGTGAATCCTTCATCGTCCTTACCTTACTTTCATAGTCCCCGTTTTGCCATTGGCTTTTCACATCCCGTTTGTTTCTTTGTATAACTTTGATTGGGTAGCCATTTCCGAGGAATATCCCCGTCAATTTGTCCAGCTCTTCGTTCCTGAATTCTGCATCCTCTGGATGTAAGCTTCTCACTATTACAATCTTAAGCCTGTAATTGTGATGGGACTGGAAATTGAGTATTATCCCCGCATAGGACTTCTTTGACGGACAATTTCTTTTTCAATGTTCCATCGAGGCGAATCACTTCAACATCCAGGAACGTTAACCACTCACCATCCTCTAGTCATCGTGAATTGAATTATTTCATCAATCTGGTTTACAAAATTTAGAAAATAATCCAGTTTTTCTTTTACATGTGACCAAAGTGCGAAGTAATAATCCAGGTATACATGAGCACAGCCTGTTGTAACGGTGCCATCTCGAATATCTCTTCTATTTTGCTTATGTATAGGTTTGCCAAAAGTAGTGAGAGGGATAATCCCATGGGAAGTCCAGTTATTTGTACATAGTTGGTCACGTTAAATGTAAAATAGGTTGTCCTTATTGTCAAGTTGATTAGTCTTGTTAACGACTGCATACATATCTATTGTGATTCCAGGATATCCTACTCGCCGTTCAGGATTTCCAGCAGAGCCGTTAGCGCATTTTCTCCAGAGATATTTGCATACATGGATTCTACATCGAAACTTACCAATAAGTCAGTTTCTTCCAGTGCCATGTTTTTTATTTTTTGAGAAAATTCCTATGAATGTTTTACCGCGTTTGATAGTCTATCATTTAAGCAATTGAATTTAAAGTATATAAACATTTTTAATTTATGTGTTTCTCCATACTTGTTGTTGACTATCAGCCTTAGTGGCTTGCCCACTTTGTTTATCTTTGGTAAGCTATATGCTGATGGTTGTCGTGTATCCTCTCTTATGATTGAATTTCCAGTCTATGCGTCAATTTTTTCATTCCTATGCATATTTTCCAGCATGGCACCTAAGATTCCATTGATATTTTTAGTTGGGTCCTTGATTAGTATAAGATATGTGGTCCTGTCCCGTAGAATATGTTTCATCATCTCTTTATATTGTTTTTGTCCATTATCCATCACGGAAATTAGGCAATATGGCCAAAATGCACTAAATAATCAATTACGAGAACAATTAGGGAGAGCAATTAATGAACAGGAGATTGGAGGAAGGTAGAGTTAGCAATAACTTTGCCTACGGCCCATGCAAACGCTTAGAAAACAAGAATGGAGCAAGACCAGCAAAAAGGAGACGCCTGGATCAAAGATCTACCACTAACAGAAGGAAAATGGACCGCGAGGAAGAAACTGGGGGGAAGGGGTTTTGGGCAATAAAGCGAAGGCGTTTGCCAATAAGTGATGCCCATTTAGAATAAGCCAGTACAACTTTGGCGGCCTGGCAGTCAGGGAGGTGGACAGACGGATAAGCAAACCGTCACAGAAATTCGACGTTATGCCCAAAATACACTAAAAATCTACTTGAGATGCCGCATGCGACCAGAGATAGGTGCATACAGTTTGCTCAGATAACATGGGTTTAATCATGGTAGAGGACCCGTAAAGGGAAGGCCTGATATCTGCAAACATGGAAATCAGAGCTTAGGCGCTCTGCTCAGTGAAGCGGTAGTGTGCGCGCTTCTAGGGCCTTGAGAAATAGCGCCTGTAGTGAAATGCAAACAGGGACTGAAATCGAGTGAAATCGGTCAACCAGAAAGATAAGGAACAGATCCACGATACAATGAAGGTATCCGGATTGGAGGCCAAAGTCGGATAAGCCGATAGAAAGAGAGGGTTC